CAGAGCCAGGATAGAACCCAGGAGTCCTGGCTCCCAGCCCCCCTTCTCTGACCCACCAGCCCCCACTCCCCTCCCAGAGCCGGGGAGAGAACCCAGGAGTCCTGGCTCCCAGCCCCCCTGCTCTAACCACCAGCCCCCACTCCCCTCCCAGAGCCGGGGAGAGAACCCAGGAGTCCTGGCTCCCAGCCCCGCCCCCCGCTCTAACCCATCAGCCCCCACTCCCCTCCCAGAACTGGGGAGAGAACCCAGGAGTCCTGGCTCCCAGCCCCCCCTGCTCTAACCACTGGACCTCACTCCCCTCCCAGAGCTGGAGAGAACCCAGGAGTCCTGGCTGCCAGCCCCCCCTGCTCTAACCACTAGACCCCACTCCCCTCCCAGAGCCGGGGATAGAACCCAGGAGTCCTGGCTCCGAGCCCTACCCTCCACCACTACTAGGACCCCAGCTGCTCCCTTATTCCAAGTGGCATCTCCCAGACCCCTGGCCACGCAGCCCCCCTGCCCGCTCTACCCCCTGCAAACCCAGCTGCTAAACCCTCCGCCAGTGTGGACGAGGCCCCCCCGGTCACTTACTAACAGCCGGTGCGATGCCTCCCACGGAGCCGGGCCCCGGGATGTTCCCCGCTACCGCCGCGGCCTGTGCCGCAGCTGCCGCTTGCGCCGTGGCCGCCTGCTGCTGCATCTGGCGGTGGCACTGCCGCAGGTCGAACACCTGGGAGGGGACAAGCGTCAGCGCCGGGGTGGGGAGGGGCCCGGCTCCGACGGCCCCCGCGGGATGAAGGGCGAGACGCTGGAGCCCGGGGAACCGAAGGGTCTGTCCACACCCAGCTGCCGGGGCAGCGAATCCCCCCGCCGCCCTGCTCCTACCTTGATGTAGGCGCCGGGGTAGATCTTGTGCACGGCGTCGCCGGGGGCGCGCCCGGCCTCCCGGTCCAGGTAGTAGCTCTGCACGAAGACAGCGTGGTCGCTCAGGCAGCGCATCCAGACGTCGCCCTCGCCCCGGCACTCCAGCTGCACCCCCTTGCCGATGTGCAGCCTGCGGCACAGGAAGCCTGGCTCAGCCTGGTGGCCCGGGGGGGACGGGGGACACCCGCCTCCCTGCCCCCGCCCCCCCCTCACCTGGCCCGCTCGCTGGCGTCCGTGCGGTGCACGTTGGAGAGCTGCCCCAGGCAGAAGCGGTCGCCCCCCGAGGGGTCCACGTAGCCGTCCACCGTCACCACGGGGCAGCTGGACGGCACCTTGAAGATCTCCCCGACCTGCACATCCATCTCGAAGTAGGCGATGGAGCACCAGAACTCCGGCCCTGCGGGGGCCCAGGGGCAAAGGTCAGGCAGGCGGGAGGCCTGGGGGGCGGGGTGGGGGGGATCCGTGGCTGCGTCACTTACCGGGGTGGCTGGAGACTGGCTGCTGGTAGGGAGCCGCGTTATGGTGCGGAGGCCCTGGGGGGACACAGAAGGGCTCAGTCAGGCAGCTGCAAACAGGAGGGGAGGGGGAGCGGAGGCAGCTGGGGCTGGCCTGGGGGCAGCGGCAGGGCCTGAGCCTTGGCGCCGGGTTCCAGTCTCCAGCAGGGCGCGCAGGTAACAGGCAGGCTGTGCCCCTCCCAAGAGCTCCCGCCGCCAGCCGCTGCCCTCCTCCCCAGAAGTGGCTGCATTTCACCAGGGCAGGAGCACTCAGGGGCTATGGAAATAGGGAGCGATTGGCTGCTATGGACCAGGGCCGGCGGCGGGCTCACCCCCACCCCCTGCCATGCCCCCCCCAGACGTACAGTAGTGGTTGGGGTGATGGAGCGGGGGCTGCGGGTGGCTCCGTCCGTTCTGCTGCGGCGGCGGTGGAGGGGGCGGTGCGGGGGTGGGCTGCTGGCCCCCCAGGCTGGGGGTGTAGACCGCTGTGCTGCTCCCCGTCCAGCTGGCTGTCGTGCCTGAGAAGGGGGCAGAGAGTGAGGAGCCCGCCCCACCCAGGAGCACAATGTCCCGCCCCCCCAGCCCAGGGAGCCCCTCCCGACGTGCTGCACCCCTGAGATGGGGGAGGAATTTGGGGCACATCCATGCCAGGCCCCCGCCTGTGCCGACCAGAGTCAGGCAGCTGATCCCTCTGCGCTGCGGCCGCCCTGCCTCCCCATCCCGGCCGGGGTCGGGTACTCACTGTGGTAGGACTGCTTGGGGGGCGCGGGGTAGCCGTTCTGCTGCGAGGCTGGTGGGGCTGGGGGTGGGGTGGGCGCCATGGGCTGGTGCGGGGAGCCGATCTGCTGCAGTCCCTCGCCATGTGCCATGGACAGCAGGGGGCCCCCGGGGGCCACTGCTGGGGAGGGGGGGAGAGAGAGACACCGATCAACCCGCCGTCGTCCCCCCAAACCTGCCCTAGTCAGCCCGAGATGGGATCCTGGGGGGCAAGGGCAAACAGCCTCCCCGCCTCGTTCCCAGACACCCCCGCCCCCGGTCCAGCCTGAGTGCTACCCGCTGGGCAGGGGACCCCGCCACGGCCCTTCTGGGATCTGTGCTTCTAACGCGGGGGGTGGAGGGGAGTGCTTGGGACCCCCTCTGGGCTCCAGGCCATTCCAGAGAGAAAGAACCTGCCCCTCCCAACACTCCCCCACCCCCAGCAGCTCCCGCCCAGCCGAGGGTCCGGCGCTGTACTCACCCGTGGGTGACATGGGCAGGGTGGGGTAGATGTTTACGGGGGCGCGGGGGGGCTCGGGCAGCTGGAGGGGGGGCAGTGGCTGGCGGTAGGACTCGGCGGGGGGCATTCCCCGGGGTGGGAGCTTGGCCCCCGGGCCGTGGTCGCTGGCGGGGGAGCCCAGCCCCGTGGGCACCTCCATCTGGACACAGTCATGGACAAACTCCTCCTTCACCAGGCGGGCAGGGGGGGCTGCGGGGGAAGAGAAACCAGGGGGGGTCACTGCCCGCAGGGCTGGGAGTGATGGTCATCATGGGGGCCTCACAGAGTCACAGGAATCCCCAGCTCCCCACACCCCCAGGGCTCTGCTCCCCTGTGTCACAGGGACCCCCAGCTCCCCACACACCCCGGGGCTCTGCTCTCCTCGTGTCACAGAGACCCCCAGCTCCCCACACCCCCTGGGGCTCTGCTCCCCCGTATCACAGGGACCCCCAGCTCCCCACACCCCCAGGGCTCTGCTCCCCCATGTTACAGGGATCCCCAGCTCCCCACACACCCTGAGGCTCTGCTCCCCTCGTATCACAGGGACCCCCAGCTCCCCACACCCCCAGGGCTCTGCTCCCCCGTGTCACAGGGACACCCCACTGATGGCCCTGGCCCAGCCCCACACGGGGCCCCTCACCTGTGTTCTGGATGCTCAGACCTGCAGCAGAGAGAGAAAGGAGCATTAGCCAGGTGCTGGACGTGCGGGAGCCAGTGCATGTCCTGGGGGGCCAGCTCTGAAGGGCCTGCCCCAGTGCCAGGGGCACACGCTGCTCTGGGCCCTGTGGTGCCGTTCCCCTAGCTGCCCCGGCATGGCAGGGTGGGGGCCCTCTGCACCCCAGCAGCACCGTGGGGCTCCCGCGCTGCCAGAGCCCCCCACACCTGGCTCCCGGCTCCCCAGAGGGCTTGACATGAAAGAGGGGGATGTTCCCCCAACCTCCGGGAGCTGCGCCACTCCCAACCCTGATACCCAGGGACCGAGAACTCCAGCGGCCCTGGAGGCCCTGCCATGCCCCCCCCCGGACAGGCCAGCCTGGTGCCCCCCACAGGCCGCGGGCTCCGTGCCAGGCCCACCCCCAGCCGCTCACCGAGGCCTGGCGACACCACGCGCTCGTAGTGGTAGGGGTTCACGCAGACGCTGTCGTACTTGAGGTCGAAGGCGAACTGGCAGAACTTGACGTGCTTCAGCTCGTTCTTGTGCAGGTCGGGCCAGCGCCAGAGCCGGGCGTAGATCACGTGGGGGAAGCCCTTCCGGCCGGCCACCTGGGCGGAGAGAGGGGGAGCCGGGCAGGGGTACAGCCGGGGCCGGGCAGCCAGGACTCCTGGGTTCTATCCCGGCTTGGGAGGTTAGAGCGGGGGGGGCTGGGAGCCAGGACTCCTGGGTTCTATCCCAGCTTGGGAGGTTAGAGCAGGGGGGGCTGGGAGCCAGGACTCCTGGGTTCTATCCCAACTCTTGGGAGGGGAATGCGGTCCAGGACTCCTGGGTTCTATCCCGGCTCTGGGAGGTTAGAGCGGGGGGGCTGGGAGCGAGGACTCCTGGGTTCTATCCCGACTCTTGGGAGGGGAATGGGGTCCAGGACTCCTGGGTTCTATCCCGACTCTTGGGAGGGGAATGGGGTCCAGGACTCCTGGGTTCTATCCCGACTCTTGGGAGGGGAGTGGGGTCCAGGACTCCTGGGTTCTGTCCCGGCTCTTGGGGGGGGAGCACCAAGACCCATGTGTTTCACTGGGGGCTAGATGCAGCCTGTGCCTCGCAGCACCTGTGCAGAGGGATCCTGGCGTCCTGCCTGTGGGCGATGGGACAAGGTGGGGTGGGGGCAGGGCTGCTGGAGGAGAGACAGACCCCGGCATTCCCCCATCCGATGGGATGGTGCTTCCTCCCCTCCCCCCTGCTGCCCCCCCCCCCGCCAGGGCCCCTGCAGACACAGGCGGGAGCTGGGGCTATGCAGCCCCCTCTGCCCCCCCTCCACTTCTCCAGATGTAATCGGACACCCCCCCCCTCCTTCCCACCCCTCGCCCACATCTTTGTTTATCCTATTGTGAGGACATGTCAAAACCCATCCAGTCACAGGCTGCGGTGGCGCCGTCCTGACCCCCCCTCCCTGCAGGGCCCCATCTCCACCGCACCACTGCCCCCTGCAACCCCCCCACCACCACAGAGCTCCCCCTCCCCGTCACCACTGCCCCCTACAACCCCCCCACAGAGCTCCCCCTCCCCATCACCACTGCCCCTGCAACCCCCCCACAGAGCTCCCCTCCCCGTCACCACTGCCCCTGCAAC